CCATTTCCTGTTGCGCCTATCGAGGCTAGGTCGAGCAAGTCGAGCCAGCTGAAGATATGCAGGATCAGGGTCTGCGGTAGACGAGCGATTGAGAACGGTCGACTGGGATTGAGTGCCAGCCAGGCTTTCAGTTCGTTATCTTTATCCGTCGGTTCTTCGGCTTGGTTGGGGAGTGGCACTTGAGAGACTGTTGAGGATGAGAGGACGAGTGGTTGTGATCTGGATGATGATGAACTGGGTATTGGTGAGGTATGTGAGGTTCCAGACATGGTTGGATGAGCTTTATGCGGAGTTCAGCTTGAGGTGTGGCTTTTTTTCGTCTTCTTGCTTGAAGTCTTTTCTGTTCAAGCGGGTGTCGGCCTGTTGTGTTTGATGTGTGGTGGTCTTTGGTGTCCAAAAGTTTGTCTCCTTGGAAGTTGAACTTGATGGTTTTGTTGAGTCAAATGTCGAGTCGAGCTTGGCAACTGACTCCAGGCTGACTGCCGAGTTGACTTTGTGTTGGAGTCGGACCCCCCTAGTAGCCCAGTCAACCCCCCCTTCAAACAGCTTATGTAAACTTGCGTTTTTTTTTTTGCAAACAAAAAGGGTTTTAACTTTTCAGCATCAAGCATCTGCATGACGTAGCCCTCTTGACCGCTAACGTCAATCTACAATGTTCCATTGATTGTCCCAAGTAACAGTTTATGTAAGATCAAATGAGCTCACCATGATTTGCTCGTATCTCGTCCGATTTCCCAGTGCTTTTTGACCACAAAGTCTCAACGGTTCCAACCCCAGCCGGTCGGTCGGTCTCCTCTAAGGTCATCATGAGGTTTTCTATCTGGCATTCATGGCTGAATGTACGATTGGTTTGCGGATAATATCCACGCTGAGTGGTTTGGTTTCAGAGACCCACATGAGAGATGTGAAAGACAGTATTTGGTCTGCTGGACTCGGAGGCTACTGGAGGTCAATCAGAGAGATCACCTCACCATACAAGCTACTGCAGGACCTATCGGCTGGACTATCAGGGACCATCATCTGTAACAATTCCCAAGTCCTGCACATCAGAACTACGAGAAAAAAGGAGGTTCAGATTTACTTTCAAGAATGTCTTTCAGCCGTCGTTTTCAGTTCATTGAAACATGGTTTGGGGATACATTTTGTCTAGTTGGACTCTAAAGCGTTATTAGTGAAAAAAAGAAAATCCAAAGAAAACAGAAGGAGCAATCAAAGAACTCTGATATGAATCTTCTAAAGAGGGAAAAAAACAACTGTCCATGTAACAATCATTTCGAATTTTAACAAATCTAAAACAACACAAGCGTTTGTTACTTCTATGCTACAATGTCAAAGAAAATATGTCGTCTAGAAGAGAGAAAGGGAATACCAACAAGCAGAAACAAAAGCAGAAGTGAAGTGGTCACCTACCAAACATGACAAAAAAAAACGAGGGGAAAAAATCTAGGATTCCAGATGGATGATCAGATAGTTCCAAGTTTAGACCTAATCCAAGTGGTCCGAAGTCGGGCATCGAGGGCGATATAAGTTTCAGCATGTTCAAGTGGGCTGAGATAGTCGATTGCCTTAAGGAGTTCTTGTCCTTCGAGCTGACCGTCAAGCTGGAGTAACCTGATAGCATCGACCCTTACGCTAGGTCTAATCTTAAGATTATCGCCGATATCTTTAAGATGTTTGAGGAGCAAGTCCTGCTGAGTTATCCGACGACGCTTGGCGGAGGGTGGTGCGGAAAGGATGGGCTGGTCGCGGTGCTGGTCTTCCTGATCCTCCTCTTCGAGTCTGTCACTCTGCCAGAGCAATGGATCAAAGGACTCGTTGGGCGTGCTTTCGTCTTGTTGATCCGGACTAGAGCCCCTTGAGACCCAGCGTGCGGCTCCGCGGTCAGCCGTCTCCTTCGGCTCGTTAATGGCCACCCCATTTCCTTCTATTAAATCGCTGACTTGGTGGTATAATGGAAAGTGCTTCTGTCGCCATCGGTATAAGCTCTTCCCTTTCTCACTCGAGTTCGCTAAGAAACTCGTCCATATATCTTCTGGCAAGATCACCCGTTGCATCTTCTCATCCCATCGGGCTCCATCCAAGCTACGGAGATGTTTGAGTTCAAGGTAACTTCGTTTGAGCTTTTTTGTTTTGTTTTAGAAAAAAAAAGGGGGGGGGGGAAACAATGCAGGTATTAAGTGAAATGGTCTAGAGAGAAGAGGAGAGGAGACCAAGAGAGACATACTGAAGAATAACGACTACGACAACCGGTAGCGTCCTTAGCTTTAGAGCCCGTTTTTTCCTCCGAGCCAGCCAGTGCTCTAGCGGCGGCGGGCCAAGTGCTGCCCTTATAGCCATTAGCGGGGGACGGATTCCTCTGCAGCTCAGCCTTCAAGAAGGCAATCAGCGTCAAGTCGTCCTCTTCAGTCCAACGACAGATCGGCTTGCTCATCGGAGGACCCGGCGAGTCGACGATCGCTCGGCTCGGTCCCGGGGTCACTACTGGCTTGATCATCTGGATTACCTCCTCTATCCCTCCTACTACTTCTTCAATTCGTGTTTGCATCTGATCCTCGCGTCCGGAAAAACTCCTTCAATTTACTAAACACTTAAACACCAAGAAAGTAAAAAAAAAGAAGAAAAAACAAAAGGTATGTGTCCGCGGTTGTTACGATATGATGAAGTTGAAGACGTCACTTATAAAATCGATGTGAATCTCAAGAGGGAGAGGCAGAGAGCGGACCTAAAACATGAAGTGATCACAAGCCATGTACATACATAAGATCTCAAGTCCACCAACATTCCGAATAAGAAAACCCGAGCTGGTAGCCGAAGAAGACGGTAACCAAAGAACGCCAACGTTATAGAAACTGTTCCCCCCTCCTGTCCCCATTGTCCGGATCTTGAAAGCGTTACAGCTCGGTTTGGATGGTAACCGGTTTGAGTTACATTTTTTTTTTTTTTCTTTCTTTGGCTTTTTTTGTAAACTTCTTGCAGGGGCTGTGGGGATTATGTAGGTGCCTCGCTCCGGTACCCGCACAGCCGAATCGCTCGAAACACCTCATCTTGTATCTGTAAACTTCAAAGAAACACTTTGGTCTCCGTCTTTGAGATTTTGTTCGAGCCGTTGGCCTGGGGCCATTCGCGGTTTTACCATGACTTTATCCGGAAGCCTAAGGGATCTCCGGCAGGTGAAGATATCCGTGACTATCCGACGTGGGTGGTGATACATGGCTTACACATGACGTAAACCTGGGTTCATGCGCTTGCATGCTCAAACCTTCGCAGTGGTGGTGGTCAACAGCCAAGACGACTTGGAGATCATCAACCAACCAACAAGATGACCATCATCCTCCAACCTCAAACCCAACGAGATCATTCGAAAATATTCAAAAGCTTAGGACTAGCAGAGGACGTGAAAGCGATCAACGTATTCGCCTATCTTCTTTCCTCCTTTGTTTCGGTCTCATCCTTAGTCTTTATCAGTGCCTCCACCAGCTTCGTTTTGACCACTATCATCCATTTACCTTCGGATAGAATCGGCCGAACTAATGGGTTCGTTTCAATTTCTTCTATCCTTTTCTGTTATAGTTCCGTTTCTCATCTTCCTTGAAATCTGACGACCCTTGCTTTTTTTTCTGCTTTGTATAAAGGGCGTTGATTTTGTTGGACGAGCTGGTCGCTTTACCCGCTGTTTTGGTTTGGGGTCGACTAGCTGATATTTATGGCTATCGTACGGTCACTGTTATTGGACATTTGGCAATTGGTACACATGAACTTCAGTCTCAAATGTTATGATAGACAGATCCATAATTATTGATGTTTATGTGATTTTTCTTTTCTGTCAGCAATTTCTCTGACAATATATATCCAGTCACGATTAGAATATCAACTGTTTCTATCTCGGATTATTCTCTCGGTCAGTCACGTGAAACTTAACGGATTCTCGTCCTTTTATTCTAAATGGGGGTCTTGAATGTTTCTCATCTATGCGCAGGGTCTGTAGATCGGTTTTGCGGCTTTGACGACGATGCTGAGTACGATTCTCGCCTCGATGACTGCCTCGCGTCTGCCACCACCAATTCCCGCGGTTTGTGAGGAACCTGTGGGTAATATCGAGGGGCAGATAAATTTGTTATCCAGGATAAGGAAACGCTCTTTGATCGTTAGTCAGCGCTCATCGCGTCTGTCGGGATTGATAGGCTTTACAAGTGGCTTGGGTGCCCTTTTTGGAGGTCAGTCAGTCAATCCAATCATCATTCATCGGTTCGATCTCGCGCTTATTTATCTGCTGCTATCGGGGACGTAGTTTTTGTTCTTTTGCGGTTGCCTTCCTATTTTGCCAACTGGAGTCACTCTCCTGTGCGTCAAGGTCTGGAAGCGGGCGTCAGAGGGTCATTTTATGTTGCTGCCATCATCGCTTTGATCACCAGTATCTTGATGGTTTTCGGTCTTCGTCGACGAGGAGAAATGCTGTGGCCGATGAAGATTCCTTCGTCGAACCCTTCAACTCATTGGAAAGAGTCGATCCTAGCACTTATGTTAGGGTTCAAATTGATCAAACAACATCGCCATTTGATCGTGGCTTATGCTTCTGGGTTCGCTGTAAGCCTCTAGAAATGTTTTTGCTCCTTTCTTGATCAAGAATGAATTTAAAGATCATCCGTTTTCTTTAGGCCCGTGCAACGACAATAGGTGTTACCGCATATATCCCTGTCTTTGTAAATCAATACTTTATATCAACAGGACAATGTCAACTCGATAGACCAGATGCGCCACCTGATGAAGTGAAAAAGGGTTGTCATGCTGCGTTTGCTTTGGCGAGTGCTCTCACAGGAACTGTCCAGGTTGGTTGATGTACCCTTCTGATTAGGGAAGTTCACACTGACGATAAAATTGCACACATCAGCTGTGTGCGCTGTTACTATCTCCTGTTGTAGGATGGATGGCGTCGGTATATCCTCAAGCTAGAATCCTTGCCACCTCGAATCTCTTGAGTGCACTGGGATTCATTGGATTCGGACTGCTTCCCAGGCCAAACCATTTCTTAGTCTGGCCGATATGTATCTTGCTCGGCCTGTCACAGATCACTGGGATTGTTGTGTCTCTGAGCCTCTGTGCCAGTTGTCGATGGCAGATCTTCCATTCCGAGTCCGCTATCTCTCGTCAAACTGAATCCACCCCGCTGATCTCTGATCCTCCTCAGTCCAATCGAGCACCATGGCAGGAAATCAGCGGTGCCATAGCCGGTGTTTACTCTTTGTCTGGCGGACTTGGAATCTTGGTCGGATCCTTTGGTGGGATCCTTTCTGATTGGTCTCCTCGAGCTCCTTTCTATCTCACTGGTGTAATAGCTTTTCTAGCCTCTCTGGTTTGCATTCTTGTCGGCCATTCAGTAGACATTTGATATCTATACCAACCTCTTCACTTTTTCTAAGAATATTATGTACTCTCATTCCGAATGGTATGGGGTTGCCTACCTATTTCAATTCTCTGCCTGTTTTTGTTGTGAAATCTTGTCTCATTGGTTTGTGGTTCAACATAAATTGTATTTCAAATAGATGAAGTTTGTTGTTGTATCAGAATTATCACTCAAGTACATAAAACAAATTATCCAACATGTCAAATTGTCAAGATGCAGATCCTGGCATGGCAATCAATGCAGCTGACATTCTACTTAAACAAATCTCTGTATAAGATGCACAAAGCAAATGGGTACTGTTTGTCACAGTCCCGGCGCGGTAAGCTATCGGCACGCACAAGTTCCGGTCTCCAATCTCGGTGAGGAAAAGAGAGAGGAGCCCGGAACCGGGACTGATCAGACCATGGTGTATCAAGCCACGCTGGGCACAATCCCAAGTCCCGCTTGGCCAAGTGCCACAGGGGCTTGGAAGTGTGCCCAGGGGGCTTGATTGGGCAACTCAAGCGGGGCTCCGATCTTGGCACAAGCCAAAGTCTGACTTGGCCGACCCAAAGCTCTGGGCCAATCAGACCATTGACATCCAATTTCACCTCATCACCTCATCACCTCATCACCTCATCACCTCATCACCTCATCAGAGACAGGTACCAACAAAATCAAGGCCAACAGCCTTGATCGGTAGCCTGTGTTGAAAGCTGCTGAGACCAACAGTCATGAAGGTGTTCCAGGAGAATCTTTGATAGGTGTCATCTTCCGATGATTGGTTCTTCGGTTCTCAGCCATGACTCTATGTTCGTTAAGGGACAAAATATCAGTGAAGAGAAGTAGCTGTAGAATTGTTCCGATGGGTGTGAGATCCCATGGACATTGAAGTCACGTTTGGTCAAGTTTGGGTGGTGGGTGGATTTGGTGCAGGTGGCACCCTCACTTGGGCTCGGCCAAGCGAGGCTTTGTCCCAACCCCCGCTGTAAGACTCAAAAGTGGTTATGAAACCCTTTTGCTGAATGGAGAAGGGTATGTTGGAGTTGCAAGCTCTGCCCTTCTATACTATCAGAATAACAAGACCACCAAGCTTAGCTTGGCAATTTTATATATAGTGATAGGGATAAGTTCAAGATGAAGCTGCCGATTGATATATGTGAGGGTATAAAGATGTTGTTGACTGTTGGTTATATTGATGAAGTTGTTGTTGATGGATATGGTTCAGGGCACTTTTGGTTTATGATGATGATGAAAGTGTTAAATCTGTATTTCAATGTATATAATTCTGAAATTGTAATGTGGCTATGACTTGTAGTTCTGAAATAATATATAAGATGGATTTATTTATAAGGGTGGTTGAGATGATCTGGTCCACTCGTGGGATGATGGACCCTTGGTGGGATGATGGAGGGAACAACTGGAAGGCAGAGGCCTCCTTATATAGACAAATGTGAGGGGTTTTGGCCCCAGGGTACAGGCTGAAAGATACTACTACAAAGGGATGCATATGAATGAATAAAGGGACGCATATGTATGATCAAAGGGACGCATACATGCAATATCACTAATACAAAGGGATTCAAAATTACGTAAAGGTATTCAATTTACTACAAAGGAATCCAGTATGCAATATGCATCCTGTATTTATAATGACTATGGCTAGAGTGAAGAATCCAAGAAATATCCTGTGACAGGTTGAAATGCGTGTAACTTCCAAACTATAAGAGATAAAGGTATGGTTGTGGTGAGTGACTAGGGTTTATTTTACCTGAGGATTCCATTTTTGATGTCAATTTGACCATATCTTGAATGAATAAAAAGATAATAAGAAATTTATATATTTTCTGCGTAGAAACACAGTATTATTTACCACACCGCCAACTTTGGCATGTGTCAAGCGGGGGTTGGGGGAGTGCCAAGGTGACTTTAGAGTGTGCCACGCGCGCTTGGAGATTGGCCAAGCACGCTTGGCTTGTCTTTTGCCCAACTTGGGCATGTGCCCAGCGGAACTTGATACACCATATATGCTATGTACATGCTTATCTAGGTTAGGGTTGAGACTATCACTAGACTAGGTTAAGCTTATGTAAGTACATAGTTATGGACTAAAACAAGGTTGTAATTTTAAATCTTCTATTAACTTCCAGCACTACTCTAACACTCTGATCGTAAGTCTGATCCTTTCCTTTTAGAACTAAACCAGGCTGGGCTTCAGCCCCTGACCTGTGAAGTTGCAACTGGGACTAACCCATAAAATTGTACCCTGAATACCAATGCCACAGACATCGAGGTATGTACAGGAGGAAATACAAGCCGACCCTAACCAGGTGCAAGATACCATGCACACCTCCTTCATGGAGGTGTAGACACAACAAACCGCGTTCAGGCATACCCTATAGGAACCTGAGAGTGATAAGTGTATGATTCCGTAGTGTAAAAGGAATCATCACTAACTCAGAATTCTCTTCCAAGACTTCCCCGGGTGCTGTGCTGCAGCAAGGCAGAGGCCTGTAACATGAATGTTACAACACTCCCCCTCTCGCCGCAGACACCCCACTACATACAAGTAAAACATTCAAAGAAAAATGAAAGAAAAAAAAACAACCTGTTTTAAGCTTGAAGAATAGAGAAAAAATAAGAATGAAATAGAGAAATATTCTCAACCCATAACCTTATTATGCAGTCCGCCAAAAAGGTCAGGTGATAAACATTTGGTGAACACATCCACTATTTGCTCCTTTTTCCCAACCCAAGAGAGTGTGGTCTTCTTCTGAAACAGAGCTTCATTAGTAATATAGGAATCTCTATCTGAGTGTCTAGTCCGCTTATTTGAAGCATCATCCGTTGCCACCCTGACAGTAGATTGATTATCACAATGGAGATGTCCAATGAAATCCATTTTCAAAACATCTTTTAGCAAATGTCTTACCCAGAGAGTCTGATGTGTTGCCACTCCCAAAGCCATATATTCCGCATGGCAAGTCAATGATGCCACTGATTACTGCTGTCAAGCTACCCATAGGACTGGACAATTGAAAACTGTAATAAAAACTCCGTAAGCTGATCTAGAAAACTCCCCACCCCATGACGCATCACAATAGGTATTTAACGGTTTGTCGTCAAACTTTGGGAAAAGTGAAAGCCTCAAGTCTCTTGTCCCTGCCAGATAATTGATCAGGTGGCAGACGCCCTTCCAATGGATTTTGTCAGGTTGTGGTTCTGCTTCTCATGGATTCTATTGGAGAGTTCAGATAAGCTGCTACAAAATCAAAGCTGTGTACTGGCCACTTGTTAGCAGCTGCTATACTAAGCAGAACATGGAGTGCTACAAAAGTGGCTGTAGGCGCAAAAGTCTCATTAAAATCAACACTGGATACATGTGTGAAAACGTTTGCCACAAAACGTGCTTTGAAACGGAACCCGGTGCCATCAACATCCAGTTTTGTTGCAAAAACCCATCAAATGTTCAATGCTTTCTAGTCTGTTGGCATCAAGCAAACAAGCCATACCCTCATTTGTTCCAAATTGTTCAGCTCAACGGAAATTGCTTTCGACCACACATCCTTCTTGGGTGACTTCATTGCCTGTTTGAAAGTTTTCGGAACAGAAATGGCATAAAACTGACACAATTCTAGGCTTTTGTCAACAATCAATTCTTGGTCATGGAATTCAATCTCTCTGGTAAAATCGCCCAGCTGCATCAGGTTCATAATAAAATCCACACTCAAACAAGGTGTCTCATCAGCAAGTCCGGGGTCAATGTGGTTTGTTGCTGGTCCCAGAATTTGATGTATTATTGTCAAGGTCATTGCCTCCTTTACCAATTTTTGTGAAGTGGGAGTGTTCCGCATCAACAAAAGTCACCAGGGCAGAGTTGACAAAACGGTTTTTGGAGGGAATCCAGAACATCCATCCCTTGCTCGTTTCCAGATGTGCCACGACTTGTCCTTGTAGCACCCTTGTGTCCAACTCCAGTCAATTTTCCACCGGTAGGTGCACATATGCATAACCAACGGTGCCACAGAGACGATACGATACGATATCAGGCGTTTATCTGTATTGTCTCAGAATTGGAATACCCAAAAATACCGGATTTGTGTTGTCTCACTTTCCTGAGACATATACATGTATCGTATTTGAAAAGTGAGAAATGTATTCTGTATCGTCTCAGATGACTGATCCCACCAAAACCGTATTTGATACATAAGATATTTGGCTGTATTGAAGAAAAAACGAAAAAAACGAAGACGAATTTTTTTTTTTTTTTTCATTTTTAAATCCAAATCCGATACAATGTATTTTTTCACCAACCAAGGAAATACTGATACCGGTATCAGGCTCAAAATAAATACAATACGATCCGATACAAATACATGTCTCGTATCTGTGGCACCGTTGGCATAACTACTGAAAGCCCTAAAACGCTCAAAGTGTGGTTTAATTTGGAAGAGAGCCTCATAAGGCTTGGGCATGAACACTGTGGACCAGATTAGATCTTTCTACAAGTTGGAGCCACTGGAAGACTCCAGTAAACTTCCATCAAGCAGATCTCATCACCTTGGAGTAAACCACTAATGACAATCATGTACTAATAATGTCCCTTAAGTCTTGATGTTTTGATGTACAGAGAATTAAAGAAAAAGACAATACATTACCAGACAGATACAAATGTTAAGCAGTTTTGACGGTGGGGAATATAAAGTGGGTTGTTCTTAATCTGATAAATCTTCCTTTTGGGAAAAAGGAGGGCCCTTTAAACACCTGAGGGCGCTTCAGACATGGCAATATCCCACTGGGGGATGCTACAAGACTGAAACTGTGGAATTAGTTACAAGGGGTGTCAAGGAGACATTCTATATGATACTTCATTGCTACATGTGTGGCAAGGGGATAGGCTGTGGCATATTAACAGTTTAGTATTAAGCAAACCGCGTCTGCCTTTAAAAAAAAAGATCTGCATCCTTCCCCTCGGGTATTTTCCCCGGATCGTATGATTCTAAGCG